TAGGCTGCACTGTAAACCTTTAAATATATTCTCTGTGCTTGGTCACTATGGAAGATGTGTACTGTGTTAGTGTGTGTTCTGCCAATTGACAGGGGCRATTTAAAGGATATAGACACCAATGGAAACACTGGTGTTATTTTACTATGAATATTAAGGCAACACAAAAGTAAAATGATACAGCCAATAAAACTACATGTGTGACTTTAGCAACAAGCAAAAATAAGAAAGGCAATGCACCTAATCATTGCTACACAAGAGACAGGATAGTGATTGAGAAAGACACAGCACCAATTGCCRAAATACTTTACCATCATCCAGAGCCTGCAAATGCTCGGGGGCTCTGTTTCRCAGTGAGGACCYGGAGAATCCTTCCCGGCAACTGGCAAAATCCTATGTGGTGTGTCTACCCATAGGTGAGRTCTCCAAATTCACCCCAGAAGTGGGTCCAGCTTTTATAGTCCCAAATCATCAAGTTCAAGTGACTTGATTATATTTTTAGCACAGAAACACCTGGATSTGATGGCACACTTCCTGACYAGCCACARCCAGGGSTTGGCCAGAGCCCAAGCTTCRGCTGGGAGGGTTTCTCCTAACATATCCTACAAACAAGCCTCTATTATGTCAGTCAGGAAGGTTTCTAAAATGATCAATTTCTTGCAGATAACTACACAAGGTGATAGCAGCTAGCATAAGCATCTTCATCATCTATTTTTAGTTAAATAATACTGATAGTGTTAGTCACACAGCGCCCAGGATCCATCTTTGAGTTAGCTTTGGCTTAGGCCTGCTGCTCAGGCCTCAGCACATCAGCATATATTTCAGTATAATAACAGATTTAAATAAACATAGAAAAGGAGGAAATAAGCACCAGGAGAAAATATGTGTCATCTAATATTTCTAAGGTTTTCAAATAAGGATGTTAAGTCTAGATGAAGCTGACTCTAAGATTTGGGTCCAAACATATCAGCTGAGACAATACGGAGCATCTATGGATTACCCTTAAATATGGCAAAAGCTAGGAGTGTGAGTGAAAGAGAAGAAAACTGAAAGCAGGTCTGTCTCTCTGACAGACGATAGGGGGCTTGAGAATAAMGGCACTTACTAGATCAGTGGTTGTACCAGGGCAGGATAAAGCTAATTCTGAACTCGATTTGTTTACAATCTGCTTTCCTCCAATCATCATTGGACAATATTTAAAGCAAGTTATTTGGAGATACCAAAACAATGTTTACAGSTGGTAAGAATTCCTGGAGTTGTGCCCAGTTCAGTCTCTTGAACAAGCACAGTCACTGTGCAGGGTACTGCAGAGCAGATGTAACAGCGCTCAGAAGCCTCGTCCTTGGCTGAGGCTCCCATCTGGGCTGGGGCACCCTGCTCGTGTGGCCTGAGCTGTGGTCTAGGAGGGCCTGTGCTCAACCAGGTTGCCCAGACTTAGTGGCTGGCTTGACTTGGGGTCTGACTTGTCACTTTGCTTGATGGCAAAACCGTTTCTGTCCCCAACTCTGCTCTGCTTGCTCTGCTCAGACACTGTGGGATGGTGTCCTTGGAAGGCTCACCTTCCTTCATGAAGCAGTCCCAGTTCTGCTGCTCCCTAATGGGGAAAGTCACTGATGTGASTATATCCTTCTCACCTCATCTTTGAGTGCAGAGCTCAAAATAATGGATGCAGAGTTCAAAATAATGTAAACTTCTAAAATGGCAATACAAAAGGTACATGTCAAATTGGTTTGAGTTTATAGGAAAAGAAATGAGATGGAGAGTGATTAAGTTAAAAAACAGAATGGAGTCAGGGAGAGGAGTGAGTGTAGGTGTAAAAGCCAATTAGTGTAGGGTTTGGGACATAACTGCGGAAATGTACAGCAGGAACATTTCACAAGGAAATTTCTGCTTGTGGTATGTATATGCAGAAGCAGATGGGAGCAGACAGTGATGAGCAATTTTTCAAATTCTTTCTAAATTCAAAGAATTAAAAAAAATCTAATGGGTTTATGAAGTGGGAGGGAAGGGATGAAACAGAAATAGTAGCTTGGAGAGGTTTATATATAAAATATATGAAAGTACAGCTAGAGGATGTGGGTGAATGTGCAGCAAGGCAAAAAGCCAACTTGCTTACAGTTAGTGGGATCTTCATGTCAGAACAATCAAATGATGGCCCACTCTGGCTGCTGGCATTCCTGTGCCTCTTCCCTAAGAGGACTGTCCATGCAGCAGCTCCCTGGAGAGTCTAGGGAAGATGGCTGTAGTTGTGGAAGATGGAGGTGCCTGCAAGTGACAGTGGACATCCAGGGACCAAGGTGCTCACACTGGTTTGGACAAGTGAGGGGAAGTAGGATACAGAAATCCTGAGTATCAGAGCAAATGGAGAGGTTCCACATAGATGATGATGGCCAGAACATGATTTTTAAAAAAATCTGCTTGTATTTTACTCTAGTAAGGATTGTCTATGGTGCTTTTAGTTTTATCTCAATGGATGTGCTCCTAGCAGGTTTAAAAATGGACTAATGGTCTGGGATTGTGGAACTGAAAGCGTTAGGACTCTTATTTTTTTTTTTTTTCTGCATAAATGGGTGCATCCTGCCACTATTGGTGCATGTTAGTTTCCCAAGGCCCTTTGAAGCAATTTGGCTTGTCAGAGCTCTTGGAAGCCTGCCAAGCCAAATGCTGTTTCCTTCACACAGGCCTGGTATCCATCCAAGACACTCCAGATATCGCTAAGGAAGGCACACACTGGTTTTAATTCTCTGAATTGTCATGCCAAGCACATGGCAAATAGGTACATTCAGTCAGAAAGTGACTGAGCAAGAACTGCAAATTCCTAAGAGAGAAATGTGGGCTCACTCTTGGTACTCTGGGACCAGCCTAAGCCTAATTCAAGCTGGTCATGGTAAGCAGCATCARTTTGTATGTAAATGGCTTCTCTTGYGTTTCTGGTCTCCCAAGGGGGTAAGTATCCCTGGAATGCTTTTAAACATGGTCCAGCTATTTTCTTGCCAACAGCCTCTCTATGTGAAAGCAATGCAGTTTGCTTGCATCTGACAACAGAAAATGTCTTTTGCATTTAAAACAATTAAGTATTTCTGTGCTGTAGTTTTACAATGTCTGTCTGTTCTCTGTACTTGCTGCCCTTTGAGAATTCCTCTAACTCCATGCCTTCTTTCCTTCTCTCTCAGCCCACTGGATGTAACAGGGAGACCTTTYATATTCTGGGGCGGGCTGTGCAGTTGCCACATCGTGCCTAGGAGAAGTTAGATGGAGAATACAGAATGAAGCAGCAGGTCTGTCTCCAGGACTAAAAGAATCAGATGGGAAATATCTGGAAGTCTATGGATGGGAGMTGGCATATGCATTGAGCAACGGACTGCAAAGTAGAGAAGCAGATTCCCACCTTCACCTCATTTTCTTCACCTGAGCCAGCAATGATTGGATGAAATACCTGTGCTGTGTGGAGCTGGAACACGTTCAACATTYCCAGCCAATATGGGCTCTCTCACAGACGATGTAATCTGTGTTTCCCATGATGGTATGTTAGGCTGTGTCCTTGTATTAGAAATGCTTTCAAGAAACAATATACTTGAAATTATGTCTGCTGGATGACACCTTATTTTCTCCAATGYTTATACAATATACTATTGATAGGGCCTACCTATCAAGTACTTATCCTCATGTTTCAAAACCCACGAACTGAAAACCCTGCCATTTGGTACCAAATAGATAAAATACTTGTGCCAGTGGGACTGGTTAAGAAAGGAAGCACTGTAAAACTATTCCCAGGAATATGAAGCCCATTTGCAGGGACCAGAAGGTGACACCAAATGCAGAARTCACAGCACTGACAATGGGTTCCTTGAAATTGCAATTATGGTATACGCTTTCCCTTTAAGCAACAGAAACGTATATAAATAAYGGGTGGCAAATAAATATTGGTGGCAAAAATAATCATTAAGGAGTTTCAGAGTAGGCAGGAATACTACATGACTGTAGGAAGTGAATTCTCTGGTTTTCCTCATTATGCTACAGGCTGTGGGAGGAATCGAAGGTGCTACTTTCCCCTTCAGATTGCTACTTCATCGTGTTCCTGTGCTGGGACAGAATACAGGCCCATCGGCATTTACTAAATACTGAGCTATTGACCTGGACAACTTTTAAATTAAATTTAATTTGCAACTCTGTCGTATGTCGTCGGCATTGCACCGATAGATGCTCTTGTCGGAGCGTCGGTACTTTGGCAGCTTTTAGCCAATATACAGCTATGCCAACTCTCCAAARCCTTCCATCCCGCTCCAATTTTGGCGTTGTTTCCCGGGTGCCGGGTCGCACCCGCCCTCACCATCTGCCGGGGCCACACAACGCTCCCGCAGCTCCCGCGCCCCCTGACCAATGGCGGCCTCCGACACGTAGGCCTGGCCCGCGCGGGCTGGCCGCGGCCAATAGGCGCGCACCATGCAAAGCGCCGCGCCGGGAGACGCCGCTAATTGGCTCCGTCGCAAGGGCGGCGGGTCGCGCGCTGGGCCGGAGCCGGGAGCTGCTCCCAACGGGGCCGCGATGGGGCCCGCCAGTCCCGACAGCGCCTTCTCCGGTACCCGGCGTGTGCCGGCTGGTGTCATGGGAGCGGCCAAGGCCGGGGCGGGGGGGAAAGTGTGTGTGCACCGATGACCCGCTTCGCTATCTCATTTATTAACAGAACGCCCAAGTTCACAAACCCGCGCCCCCAGACCCGTCCCGCCCCGCCGCCGTTTCTCGGGCGAGGGCAGAACCGGGGTCTCGCCGCCAGCGCGGGATGCAGGGTCCCAGCAGCCACACGCGCGGTTCGGGAGCAGCYGCTGAGCATCCCCGCCCCGGCGTGCGGGGATCTCCCCACGCGCGCCCCTGAGCGCGGTGGGCGCGCATGCGCGGGGAGGGGGGGACACGGCACGGGCCGGCGGAGCGGCGGCGGCGGCGGGAGGAGGCGGCGAGGAGGCGGCGCCTGTGTCGGCGCTGGAGGTTGTGTCCTTCCTGGGGAAGCTGCTGTGCGCAGTCGCGGCGCTGAAGGCGGCTCTGTACCTGCTCCGCAGAGTGTGCCTAGCGATGGCCTGGAAGTCGGGCGGCGCCAGCCACTCCGAGCTCATCCACAACCTCCGCAGTGAGTGCTGGGGCGGGGGCGCGGGCGGGCGGGGCCCCTGGGCAGGGGGGCGGCCGTTACCGGTGACCGTTACCGACCGCGCGCTCCCGCGGCGCCCGTCCGACCCGCCGCCAACTGTCACAGCGAGCGGCGCCGGCGCTCGGCAGGGTGTGTCTGTGCGTCCGTCTGCCCGTCCGCCCGTGTCTGCGTGTGCGTGTCTGTGTGTCCGGCCGGGGGTGTGTCCGTGCGTGCCCGGGTGCTCGGGCACGGGGTGTGTGTGTCCAGGCGGCGGCCGGTGTCGCAGGGCCGGCCGGGCTGTTGTTGCGGGAGGCAATGCGGCGGGCGGGGCGGCGCCGATGGCGGTCCCGGAGGGGAAGCGCCGTGCGGCGGCCGTGGCTGTTCCCGGCTCGCCGCGTTCCCCCCTCCCCGGCCCCGTTCCCGTCGCCTCGTCCCTGTCTGCCTTGTGCGAACTGAGGCGGGGCCGCGGCGGCAGTGCCGGAGGGCCCGTGATCACCCGCACGCACCGGGATCGGCGTCCGTCTGGCTTCGCTCCGGCCGGCGGGAGTGCTGGTGTCGGCGGGCGCCCTCCGGTCCTTGAGGCCCGGGCTGAACAACGCAGCGGGAGCCGCCCGGGTTTGGGAAACGCGCCGAAGAGGCCGCGGCTGTTTGTGTTGGAGAAGGGGGCGTGTGGCAGCAGTCCCTCCTCCCCTGGCGGGCTTCGGAGTGGCACCGCTGGAAGGGGTGGGCATGGACCGCGGGGAGAGGAGAGGGAAAAACTGTCGGAATTGCGGACTCGWGCCGTGACAGCCGAGCTTTGCGGTGGCTGCTCGACACTGGGCGCTCCTTGTGCTCACCGAGGATTTGTGCTGTCCCCGTGCTGAACGTGGAAAGTGTTGGGCGGGCGTTTCTCTGCCGATATACTTSAGTACATCCTGAAGTCTGCAGGTCCTGAGAGGACGGAGCAACACCACCTTCTGTATTCAGAGCTTCCATTTTTCATATTAGGAATAGAATTAACCTGTCTTAATTAGAAGTGTCTCTCTTCTCTGCTCCTGGATTTTCCCTTCCTCCTCTGAAGTCCGTGTACTAGGTGTAAAATGATGTAGATTTGGAGCCTGTATTATGGCAGTTGTCTCTTATTTTAGTGATGCTACAACACCACACACAACTTCAGCTGTATGGCCTCCCCTTTATTCTGGAGTCATAAGAGAATCACCCTTGTTTTCTATTTTCTCCTTTTCTCTGCTTATGTTAGATCATCTGATTTTGYGGTCTTTTCCAGTATTTTCTTTTGAAAACTGTTATATCCAGAAGAATAATATATTGTTGAAGTGACTTTGAGTTTTGCTGTAAATCTGTTAAACATTGTGCAGTTTCATTGTAAACTGTTTAATGACTAGATAATAACTTACCTAATTACAAGAGTTGCAATGCATTTTTTTTTGTTTTGCTCTGCAACTGGAAGGAAACACTGTTTTAGTGAAATACTGTTCTCTTACACAGCAGGAAAAAACTTTCTGTTGTAAAAATCAATGTTAAGCTTTAAAAATATCCAAAAAGCAGTTTTTGCCAGAATTGTCTATGGCACTCAGAACCTGAAGGCAAAACCAGTTTCTTTGTTGCGGAAGACAATGACAGTTTTTCAACACATGGAAACTGTTTAGGGCGTTGTAAATAATAATATCAAAGCTAAAAACCGTTTTAGTTAGTACACAGCAATAGTAGTATAGGAAGAGGAAAGTAAAATAAAAGTGCTTAATATTCTAATCTCAAAGCATGCAGTGATGGTAATTACTTGGAAAGTTACAGTCTGTAATTTCCCCCTCTCTGTTTTGCATATGCATGGCCAAAATGTTTTGAGRGGTATGAAATAGGGAAATAGTGGATTGGCAATAAAATATTGTGGAAGCACAAAGGCTTTGATCTTACGGCAAGATTGTGTTGTCAGCTTTCATGGGACTCCGGCCATGGTGTGGGGCTTTATCARTGCAGAGCAGCTGCTGAATTAAGACCAATAACTGAATAACTTTTAAGTCAGAGTTCCTCAGGYAAGATGATACTTTGTTGTTCAATTTGGGAATAGTTTTAGAAGAAAGTACTGTTTAATGTGATACAATTCTTCCAGGTATGTTTTAACAGACTTTAAAATTATTGGTTACAGAAGACTAAATGTTGCAGAAAATTCATTTGGAGTAATATACTAGAAATAAGAACGCAAATTGGAGGAGGTTAATTTGATGTTGTCCAGTGTTTGTCTTCTATGTAACTTAGTAAATAAGTGTGTAACTTAGTGTATATTTTGYAGAACTGAAAGAAAATAATGCAGGTTGTACTGACACTATGTTTTCTTYTGTAACAAATCCTGGTTGAGGGGTTATTGATCCTGCGCTTATGCCACAATTCTTCTCTTGACTGTTCTTGTAGAATTGCTTGTGAAGTAGGCAGTAAGACTGCAAGACTGGGTCACTTTCTGATGACTTGTGAAACACCAAGATTTTAACTCCTCAGTGTCTCTAAGTTGTAGTATTATGGTTAGAGAAGCAGTGAACTTTGTTATGGGTTGGAGGGCTGGGTAGAATGGGAACTTATTAGTTGGTTTTGCTTCCAAATAAAARCATAAATGGAAGGTTCCTGTAGGCTACATACTCATTTCCTTTAAAACAGCTATAAAGATTATTCTTCAGTATAAGCTGTTATTGACAGTTACTAGTGCTTCAGTTTTGTGGCCATGAAATTCTCCATTCATGACATTTGCTTTATTGCTCYCTTCACTGTTGCCTTAACTATAAAATTAACTTTTTTGTAATGTAACGATTATTGTGTTAGGGCAGTAAAAAATGATGTTGGGAATTTGCAATGCAGATTTAGGCAAGTATTCTTTATAAGCCATATCTTTGCTTTCATGTCTTAAAAAGGACAAACTAATAAAGAGGGTCATGGAACTGCATATTTTTCAGCATGTGCTTAGGGACAAGTGACTGAAGAATGTTGCAGTACATTGTTTTGTTGTTTTGATTTTTAACTTCTTGTTGCATTGTAAACATGTTTTTGCACTGTTAATTTGAGGTATTATAGATGCATAATTTGACATACGYGAAATAAACTTGTTTAAAATGCACTCTTCACAGCAAAAGTGCTATCCTTGAATGTGCTGTTGCTATGAGGTGTTCACCTGCTTTGTTTTGGTGATTCTTGAAAGTACTTGTCAATGTTTAAAAATGCCTTTTTAAAACTAGAATTATTCTTTCTGCATTAAAGCTAATTAAAACAAATATTTTTCACCTTTACAGAGTAATTATTTAAATCTTCACTTCTTCCAAACTGAAAATAGTCAAACACATGTCTTCAAGCTAGAGTAAGTTTTCCCCCTAAAATATATTTAAAGTAAGATCTTTTAGCAGAMAACATTTCTAGGAAGCTGTCTATGTGCAGGTTACTGTAGGGTTGGAAATCATGCTAAGCACAGAAATAATTGCCCATGTTTATACAAATAGCACTGACCWGAGTTTCTTTTTATTATGAATCTGCCATATAGAGGTGCTGAGGAGGAAAAGACTGGATAATTGGTGAATTATTTACTGTTAACTTGCTTGGTTGAAAGTCTTGATTCTAAATCTGTAACCTTTTCCCCCCTTTCTATATCTTCAGCTATCAACTGATAGGTCACTATTTGGTCRTTTTGATTTCCTTATGTCTTTCATACTTGGGCTTTTGCCATGTTCTGTTACTTTCCACGCTAGCATCTTAGAAATCAGCTTTTCTTTCCTAATTGAAGGACTGAAAAATTGATTCCCTGTCCAGTTCACAATCCATTGTAGTTCATTATGTTTCCTTATTTCACTTTTCTCCTCCAGTCAATATGTCATGCTGCTGTATGACAAACTTGCTTTGCCTATTTCTCTGATCATGTTGTGTTAATGGTGTTTTCATCACATATACCTGCTTTTGAATCTACATTTCCCAGTAAAAGTGAAGGCAAGTTAACTTGACTGTGGCTGAAGTTATTAACCATCTATGGATTTGTTTCTTACTACATTTTTTTACCTTTGTTACCTAAGAAACTTGTATCACAAAAGTTAGTAACTCCAATTTACAAGATAACACTAATTCCATAGAATTTCACACCTCACSTAAGACCAGATTCCTAATTTTTCAGTGTGTATGATGCTTCATATCAGTATATATTCAAACATTGTCAGGATGTGAGCGTTCTGTTGTTAAACATGCAAAAGATATTTCCCCAAATRTTTTATTATTTGGATGTTAAATGATTAAAAATGACAGCTTGGTGTTCTTCATCATGCTGAAGGCTTATCTACAATGAATCTGCACCTTTGATGCAGGTTTCTGGTTGCTGAGGAGAAATCTCTTAGGGAACTGCCATGAATGGGAAGGCATTGGATATAGCAAGCCTATGCTAGGTTCAGCAAGAAGTAAACATAGGTTTTGATTTGTTTGTTTTCTCCTCATATTTCTTTTCTCTTGATTTATCCAAATCTCTTCTGCATCTAATTTTGCGTAAGGAAGAGTAATGTAACTTGGATGAACATGACAAAKGGAAGTAATAATGGAAAATTAGACCAAATTTAATGACTCCCCTGCACAAGCAGTTATACTGCCTGTTGTGTGCGTTTAGTGATCACCATTTCCTTCATCATAAAWGTATTGAGGCTTCAGTGACTAAGTGTTGTACCTGATGACCAGGTAGTGAAATTGAACTGGTTTTTTAAATTAAAAATTAAGACATTCACTGATRTGTTAACTTAAGAATATCTAGAGTTTCTTCCATTTAGTTCATGTCTCAGGTGGCAGACTTGAAATCTGTGATGATTTTTTTTGACCATTGAGATTTAAAAAACATTTTGTTAGCAAGTAATTTGAATAATTGCCTAGAGGAATTGCTGTGAAACTTTTTTATTTTAAAGTAAGTTTAAGTATTTGCTAATGATTTATCCATGTCARTGAAATRTTTTGTAGGAAATTTACACCATTGATCTTTTAAGAGGCAGGCTTTCAAGTAA